AAATTTATAATTATATCCATATTTATAATCCAAAATAAAAAACAATATCTAATTAACCAATTTCCATTTATATCAATAATAACAAAACATAATCATTCAACTTAAATATAAAAAATACAACATTCTATCAAAAACACAATTCCTCAATCACATTCAATTCTTAAAAAAATAAATAAATAAAAAAACAAAACAAAATAATGCCCTCCCAAATCTACAAAACAAATCCTAAATGTCTTTAAATCTTAAAAATATCTATATTAATACAAACCTTACAATCAGACACACATATAATTCAATATTTATCTTTACCTCCATTATTGTTTACTCATAAATAATCATTATATCTAATATATAAAACCCAAACACACCTATGGACCTATCTCAAACCAAATTAAAACAACAACCAATCAAAACCAAAGATCGCAATCTAAAACAATACTAAATTATAAATACAATTTCATCTTTTAATTCAAATCTATTATTTTTATACTCAACCATCTCAATCTAAAATCATAATTTACATTACCTATCAAAATATAAATTATTATACTATATTATTATAACTCAATATAAATCCTTTCCTTTAATTAAACAACTATTTTACAATAACCTACCTTTCATATTACCCCTTCTTAAATAAACTATTACATATATTTATATAATTTAAGAAACATATAACACAAATCCATATCAAAACTCGAACAATACCCAAAAAAATCAATTACAAATATTAAGATTTTCAAAGCACAAACAAATACGAAACAAATACATAACCCAAAATAAACAATTATTACAAAACATTAATTAAAAATAACAAACAACAACAAACAACACTTACAAAACATATAATCACACAAACACACCATATGTACATATATATAATTAACATCCAATATATATATATATATAATTTAAATATTCAGTATAAATAATCAATAAAATCATTTATATATATATATCATTATCATATTATTATTATATTTATATCATTATTTTATTAAATTATTTGTTTCTATTTTTTTAAATTCTAGTATGTATTATTTTAGTTATTATATTGAAATATTTTTGTTTTGTTTTTACATATAAGAAGTGTTTCCTTCTCAATTATTTATTAAATATATTTTTGTAGTTAAATTATATTATTTACAATCCAATCAATAATTCAATAATAATTGAATTGAAATCCAAATTAAAATAAGAAACCGACAAAGAACCCAAACGCGCACCCGCATCCTCCAAAAAAGAAAGATATCCAAAACATAGGTTAAGAAGAGGTTTCTCAAGAATGCCAAGCAACATCCAAAAATGAATCAATACAAAGGGGGAAATTTATCTATGACTGATATAGGTTCTCGAACCAACCAGCTCGGGCCCTTCCTCAGCCGTGCCTGTTGCCCTTTTTGAGTGTACGATATATCACAATTACTTGCTCTTGGGTTCAAATTTTCACTCCGCAGTTCCATATCACCATTTAGCTTGTTAAAAGCCCCGATCGTACGATGATTTAGCTGGATCCCTATTACGTAACACAGTTGTTAATGAGCTATCTACCCGCCGTTTAGGCGAAAACTTCCATCTATTATCATTATAACACACCTAAGTCGTATCAAAAAAAACCATATCCCAAAACAAATATAAGAAACCACAAATACACCACAAACTTAAAACCCCAAAATGCGGGCCGACTATTAAATTGCTAAATTAAGCCTTTAATTATTAATATATTTTTCAATCAATTTCTAAAAATTCCAAATCTACCCCTATAATTGTTTTAAGTAATATCCCATAATTATCAATTTCAAATCTGTTAAAATATTCCTTTGTGCGACAACCGAAATAACCCAAAACAACACAAAGCAATCCAACCACAACCCACAATATCTAACATACAAAATCCCACTATCGTACGACCAATAATCACTTACCTAATTAACCAAACCCAATAAGAAAATTAAAATCAAATAACTAACTATAACATTCAAAACATACAACGAGTCGAACCAATATTCGGTTTCCAAAATTATTGTTAGATTAATCAATATATATATCTATATATATATAATAATTCAAATTCAAACTCAAATTAATTAAATTAAATAGATAATACAATAAACCACATCAATTATTAATATCCAAATCAATTTTAATAATGCAAATATGTTAAATAACACATATTTTCTATATGTTCCTATATATATATATATACCGTTTGCTTAACATAATGTTCAAGCAACCAATATTCATTTCAACAGAAATAAACACACATATTATTCGTTGCTCCCTTCAATATAGAAGTGTCCATCATATTCTTTAGTTCAATCTAATACAATTTGTGTTTTGTTTATTAAAGCATCTAAGATGAAATATCCAACCTCAACCCAGAATCATGCGCTGACTGGATGCATGTTTCCGTTGAGGTTCTGGCCATTTTCGCGCTTCGGGCATTCGTAAGACGCTGGCCTGGGAAGCCAAAGGTGTGAAAGGAACATAGTCTGGCCGTAGCAATTATTGTCCCTCGCAGCTAGGCACCCGGCATTAGTCGGGAAGAAGCAGCAGTCTCATGGATCGGCCGAATTAAAATAGGGTTGCGGGGTACATAAAACACGGATTTAACGATAATTGTGATTATCAATTATAGATTGGGCAATTTAATCCCTTGTAGCCATTGCTACCACGAAATTGTTTGGAGCACCTCCGTTTATCTTTTTTTTTTTTTCTTCCCCTCGGTGTTTCAACTGGTCCGGTTGCTGCAACCAATTTCACAATCAGCCCTAATTACAGGCTTAAGCATACATAGCAGAACTACTCTAAAGGCAATCCATATATAATATTCCTTTAAATTAATAATTATATCCATATCTATAATCCAAAATACAAAATAATATCTAATCCAAAAATATCCATTTATATCAATAATGCCAAAATAACAAATATAATCATTAAACCTACATATAAAAAATAAAACATTATATCAAAAATACAATTCCTCAATCACATCCAATTCTTTCAAAAAAAAAAAAAAAACCTCCCAAATCTAGAAAACAAATCCTAAATGTCTTTAAATCTTAAAAATATCCATATCAAAACAAACCTTACAATCAATCACACATACAATTCAACATTTATCTTTACGTCCATTATTTTTTACTCATAAATAATTATTATATCCAATATATAAAACCCAAACACACCTATGGACCTATATCAAACCAAATTAAAATAACAACCAATCAAAACCAAAGATCGCAATCTAAAACAATACTAAATTATAAATACAATTTCATCTTTTAATTCAAATTTATTATTTTTATACTCAACCATCTCAATCTAAAATCATAATTTACATTACCTATCAAAATATAAATTATTTCTACTATATTATTATAACTCAATATAAATCCTTTCCTTTAATTAAAAAACTATTCTACAATAACCTACCTTTCGTATTACCCCTTCTTAAATAAACTATTACATATATTTATATAATTTAAGAAACATATAACACAAATCCATATCAAAACTCGAACAATACCCAAAACAATCAATTACACATATTAAGATTTTCAAAACACAAACAAATACAAAAAATACATAACCCAAAATAAACATTGCTTACAAAACATTAATTAAACATAACAAACAACAACAAAAAACACTTACAAACCATATAATCACACAAACACACAATATGTACATATATATAATCAACATCCAATATATACATAATTTAAATATTCAATATAAATAATCAATAAAATCATTTATATATATATCATTATCATATTATTATTATTATATTTATATCATTATTTTATTAAATTATTTGTTTCTATTCTTTTTAATTATAATATATATTATTTTAGTTATTATTTTGAAATATTTTTGTTTTATTTTTACATATAACAAGTGTATCCTTCTCAATTATTTACTAAATATATTTTTGTAGTTAAATTATATTATTTATAATCCAATCAATAATTCAAAAATAATTAACTTGAAATCCAAATTAAAATAAGAAGCCGACAAAGAACCCAAACGCGCACCCGCATCCTCCAAAAAAGAAAGATATCCAAAACATAGGTTAAGAAGAGGTTTCTCAAGAATGCCAAGCAACATCCGGAAATAAATCAATACAAAGGGGGAAATTTATCCATGACTGGCACAGGTTCTAGATAGCTTGCGAACCAACCAACTCCGGCCCTTCCTCAGCCGTGCCTATTGCCCTACTTGAATGTACGATATATCACAATTACTTGCTCTTAGGTTCAAATTTTCACTCCGCAGCTCCATATCACCATTTAGCTTATTAAAAGCCCCGATCGTACGATGATTCAGCTAGATCCCTATTACGTAACACAGCTGTTAATAAGCTAATTCCAAATCTACCCCTATAATTGTTTTCAAGTAACATCCCATAATCATCAATTTCAATTCTGTCAAAATATTCCTTTGTGCGACAACCGAAATAACCCAAAACAACGCAAAACAATCCAACCACAACCCACAATATCTAACATACAAAATCCCATTATCGTACGACCAATAATCACTTACCTAATTAACCAAACCCAGTAAGAAAATTAAAATCAAATAACTAACTATAACATTCAAAACATACAACGAGTCGAACCAATATTCGGTTTCCAAAACTATTGTTAGATTAATCAATATATATATATATAATAATACAAATTCAAATTCAAATTAATCAAATTAAATATATATTATCAAATTTAAATTTAAATCATTTAATATATTATATATATAATACAATAAACCACATCAATTATTAATATCCAAATCAATTTTAATACTGCAAATATGTTAAATAACACACATTTTCTATATGTTCCTATATATATATATATACCGTTTGCTTAACATAATATTCAAGCAACCAATATTCATTTCAACAGAAGTAAACACACATATTATTTGTTGCCCTTCAATATGGAAGTGTCCATCATATTATTTAGTTCAATCTAATGCAATTAGTGTTTTGCTTGTTGAAGCATCTAAGATGAAATATCCAACCTCAACGCAGAATCATGCGCTGACCGGATGCATGTTTCCGTTGAGGTTCTGGCCATTTGCGCGCTTCGGGCATTCGTAAGACGCTGGCCTGGGAAGCCAAAGGTGTGAAAGGAACATAGTCTGGCCGCAGCAACTATTGTCCCTCGCAGCTGGGCACCCGGCATTGGTCGGGAAGAAGCAGCAGTCTTGCTGCTGAAGGCTCAGCTTTGGAGCCTTTTGCTGTGGTTTCGGCTCATGGATCGGCCGAATTAGAATAGGGTTGCGGGGTACATAAAACACGGATTTAGCGATAATTGTGGACATCAACTGTAGATTGGGCAGTTTAATCCCTTGTGGCCATTGCTTAACCACGAAACTGTTTGGAGAACCTCCGTTTAAATATCTCCTTTTGTTTTCCCTCGGTGCTTCAACTGGTCCGGTTGCTTCAACCAATTTCGCAACCAACCCTGACTGCAGGCTTAAGCATGCATGGCAGAACTACTCTGAAGGCAGCCCAATAAGCAAAGAGGCTCTCTGCCCGTTGGTTCAAAGTGGCGGAGCGAGGAACAACTTCTTGGCTTAGAATCCCACCACACCATCAGTTCTCACTCACGCAGGCCCTCCCCATTTGGCTGCCTTAGAAAGCTGGAGCTTTTGAAGGCGAAGCAAAGGAACCCCACTTGGTTAGTCCGGAAACTATACCCCAAAGTTGCATGCATTTTGCTGGAAGGACAACCCCCAACTCCCAACACTGACTTCCTTTGAGGTGTATAGTTTGAACAACCACATTTTCTATGGGAAACACCACCATCGTACCCTTAAATTCCAATTGAGCTCGAAGTGTACATCGACCCTACCTGTGCAACTATCATTGATCACCCCCAATCTAAACAAGAACATGTCGATAACAAAAACACGTATTGCTTCAAACGCAGGGGGATATAAGGATATCAGTGCTTCTTAAGATCCCCTTCTGGTTGGTATTGGAAGGGACACCAAAAGGACGTCGTTGCCATTTTAGGGGAAGGACACCGTTGCCAGCATGGTTTTTGGGCATGTTCTGGACCATGGTGGATTCCCGGACCCCGGCGAAACACAACTGTCTTCTTATGTCTTCTTCTTCTTTTTTGACACCAAACCAACCCAGGATGGCTTCCTACAAGTGGACAAACTTCCTTAGGTGTCTTGATTTAGGCCCCCCAACCTGGTCTTCCCTTTGCCACCGAACAAGGGGGTACCGCCTCCAACAAGACCAGCCGCCCGGTGTGGTCCCGATGGGTTCGCCCATTGGAGGCACTGGGCTCGCGCCTTCTCCTTGGACAGCGCCACCTTTCGCAGCTCCGTCGCCTCGATCCAGAAGGGCTGCAGGTGCCCTACCTGACCCGCAAAACTTGATCGATCGGTGCGAGAGATGCGATCGAAATGAGAAGTGGGATGAGCCTCAACCATCCAACAGGTGGTTTCCTGGGGGACCACAGCCTGGGCTCATTCAACCACATTCCCCACCTATCGCACCAGCAAGAACAAACCCTCCAGAAATGGGATTTTCCGGGAAATGAGGAGAGATGGGTTTGCCGTGCAACATGCGGGACGAAAAATGCATAGAATCATTGTTTTCACAGATAAAAAAATCCTGTGTATCTTATATCAGGTGATTTTGACTCTGAGAACCCACTTTCTTCATAACAGGTGAACTGTTCCAAGTTCCACATGTCTGGGTATGAAGAAGAATAAATGATTCACCTGATATCAAAAAACATGATACCCCTGCAAAATACCAACAAACGCAACCATCCACAGTATCATTTCTTGAAGAGGGGCCCAGTTTTGAGCGTCTTCCGTTGCAACATTTGGGTGGTCGGCGCCTTCCCCACGCGATAGCTGGGACCTTGGTGGCCAGTCTGGGCATTTCGTCCAATGCGTGTTCTTGGCATAATTCCGCTCAGGGACATGGCTGTGGTTGTCAAAAATAGGGTAACCCCAAAATGGGTTGCCCTGGTAAGTGGCAACATGGACCAACACGTGTGGTCCCCTGGTGGTTTAATTTTGACCCACACCCAGATGGGGCATGCTCATCTCAGCTTCCCTCTACTTGGTGGATTGAATTGGGATTCGTTTGGACCTGCAGCGGCCTATATCTTGGCGATGTGTGGGGGTTTCATCCATCCCAACTGGGTGCTTGTCCATCCACAGTAATTCAGGCTACCCTTAATTCGTGGTTTGAGGATTTGAACCCATGGTTCTTGCAGATGGAAAACCGCCCCCTCAACCACCAAGCCAATAATTCAAACCGGGAAAGTGCAAAGCGGTTGATGAACCAACTACCAAATGATGCAGAGTTTCCACAGTATGGTTGGCCTAAACCCCCGCGCAGACCGTGCAAACGACCTGCGTTTTGACCACATGCCTCTTATTCTCGCCTTTCACTCACCAGGAACAGTGTGTCAAAACAAAGCCAGTGCCGGCCCTGCAGTCTGGTCGGGGTGCCTTCTTCCAGGGACAAGTAATCTTCTTCCCACCAACGCACACACACACACCCACACACACACACACACACACCACAAAGGGTCACTGGATTTCCCCAAACACACTTTTGGAGGCCCTAAAAAGGGAACTGGAAGGAACCCTGACACCATCACAGCTTGGGCAAGCATTTGTCTGAACCCTTTATTAGAGCTGTAACGGGAAACCAACCATATCCCAGTTCAAAGCCATCCCTGAGTCCAAAACTATTTGACACTTGCACTTCCTCAAAGAAACGGCAAAAGCATCCACTGCTAACGCACCTGCCTGAAATTCCACGCACAGCTTGCGGGGGTTGTCCTCCCTCAAATTACATTTGTTGGGGGGGGTGCTGGGCTCTTCAAGTTGGGAGTTGGCCAATCTGAGGTTCGATCCCAACCAGAAAGCCACTACCCCTTTTGCCTGGACAGTTTACCTGGGAAGGATCATGTGCAGGCACCCAGTGGCAAACCCCAAGTTCAGCATTTCAACTGGTTGTGTCAAAATCGGGGGAATCCCTCAAATGCTTGGTTTCCTTCTGTCTTCCCCTTGAACCCACCCGAAAAGAGAGGCACCCTAACAACAACAGCCCACATATGCCCACATGGTCAGTTTGGCTTCCCAGACTGCAAGCAAATCCAAGGAAGTGGTTGCCCCTTGTGACACGGGATCGTCCCTGTGTGGCTTGGATAATGTTGACGCCATATAAATCAAACCCCAGCTGAACTGAATAGGTGGGCTGTTCCCCTCAAGTGGTCCGTTTCCCCTCCCAACAAACTAACCTGGGGTTGATTCAGAAACATGGGGTCAACATAATTCCCTTGAGAACAAGTCCATCTAAAATCAAGCTGTCCACAACCTACCAGGCGCTGGCATAGAGCCTCGGGCTGGGCTTCGGCTTTGCTTCCAGCTCGGCGGCGGTATCCTGTGCATTGGGCGTCTATGTTTCTTAGACTTCCAACAGACACCCTGTCAGACAAATCAAGTGGTGGACTGGCACTGCCGATGGAACTATCCGTGGGGCGTGGCTCAAAACACAGGTACCCCAACGCCGGTGTGCAGAAAAAATACAAACAATTTTGAGTCCACATCCATGTGGCTGTGGGTCAAAATCAATGGTACCATTTTAGGGTAGGCGCACCACCCATTTTAGAACCTATTTTAGTGGGGATTGAGATGCTCACTGGGGGTACGGGCTATTGACCCATGGCCATGTATCAGCGGCTGTCGTGAAGGGCATGACTGCTTCTGCAACAACGCATTGCATCATGCAATTTACTGTACAAAGGCGAGGCACAAAACAAGGGTTTGCCAAACACACCCCCTCAATTTGCTGTTTCAGTTACGTGTAACAGGCCGCATGTCTGTGTGAATTTCCAGCGATTCACCCCTGAAAAAGGGCACCCTCAAGACCTGCGCGCAAATCGCTTCTCCAGTTGGTGACTGCCTAGAATCTATCTGGCACTTGCCTTGTTTGACCCGCACCTCCAACTCTGAATGCTTCATAGCCCCCCCTGGTTTCCTCTGCATTCATGGGTCGCCTGGTTTCCTCCAAACAAGAGCCCCTCGCAATCTTGGAAACGAGAGTTTCTAAAGGGGTGGGGGGGTGGGGGTTTCGAGGTTTGGGGTTTGCCGTGTCCTGCTGGCGCCGTTTCTTTGCAGCAGGCTCCTGTCCTTCGCGCGGCTCAAAGGCTCCAGACAGTTTCCTTTGCCCTTGAAAACATCACTCCAAAAGGACACTCAGTAACAATGACCCCAAAAGGTGATGTTCAAACCATCCAATGGTCCATGGGGGCCCGGTTCAAACCACCCTGTGGATTCTTCCTGGACTTGAGATGACTTGAGCATGCGCCCGCCACAAACTTGACATTTCCCATTCGGCAGTGTGGGTAGACTGTTCAACCTGAGAAAATGGTATGCTCCGATAGGCAAATCAGAGATGCAATGAAACAGGTGCGACAACTTGCTCCTCCCCTCTAGTTTCGGGAGCTGCTTGCTGTTTATCCTCGCCCAAGATTCATTTCACACGCAAACACAAACAGCTCATGAGAAATACCTGGCTGAATTGGATTTGCCGCAAAGATGTGGGGAGCCTACAAACTGGGCGTTCCTCTCTCCCTCTCTCTCTCTCTGTCTCTCTTTTGCTCTCTGTTTCTCTCTTTCCCTTTTTTCCTATCTCTCTCTCTCGGTTCCGTTTTGATTCACCCCCCAACCCCCGTCGAAACGGAGCATTTGTTGGGCATGGGTGTCCTGCTTTGTTCGAACAGTTCCCCTGTTCCCGGGTTCAAACCCAAGTGCAGTCCAAAAACCACACAAAATTCGATGTAACAATCAAAAAGGAAGTCCTCCGGCCACTGGGCATTTTTTCACCCCCCCCCAAAAAAAACAAAAACAAAAACAAAAAACACCAACACACTTGCACCCCCCCCCCTAAAAAAACAACAACGGGGGCAACCACACCGGGCACATGGCTGCGCCCGGCTTCTTCGACTCCGACTCCGACTCCGACTCCGACTCCGACTCCGACTCCGACTCCGACTCCGACTCCGACTCCGACTCTGACTCAGTCGTCCAACGTCCGTCCGAGGTCTGAGGCGTCCGAGGCCCGTGCCAGGCTCATCCACCTCGCAGGGCGGCACCTCGCAGAAGAGCAGCGTCATGGCGGCGGGGGCGAAGTAGAGCGCCAGGTTCTCCGCGCCGCTCCTGAGACCAACAAAAAAGCGGGCGGGTTCGGCACATGAGCGGTGTTTACTTTGTCCAGAGGGGTCCAGGGGTCCATTTGGGGTAGACCACAACTTGCGATACTGAAAATGGACGAAATCCATTTCGCACCACCGTTCAGAAACCCTGGAATGATTCGATTTCCCTGTAAATACCAACAACATTGGTTTCAACCAGGGTTTCAAAGTGGTGCAGGATTTTGTCCATCCACAGTAGGCAGGGAATGGGAATTGGAATGACCCCTATAAACCATCCATGGTGGCTTCCTGTTGGAATCCCTGGGCTCATTCCCTCATTCAAATTCACTGAGCACCAGTAAGAAAACGGCGGTTTCGGAATTCGGAGGATGTGGGCGGTGCAAATATATGCGGAGGGGTCCATTGGGGGGGGGGGGAGGTGGGGGGGGTGGGGAGGCAGCTCTTTTTGGGTGTGCCTTTAAACTAAGCTGAAGAAGGTGTGCCAAAAAGAAGAATGTCTGTTTTGTTTTACACGGAACACGCAAGCACAACCACGACTTGGGCGTGAGTCTATATATTTATTGAGACATACCCATTCGGGTGTTTCTCAAGATAGGCTCTAGGGGCACGTTGCACCTTTGGCCATGCTCAGCTGGAAACTGCTAGGAGCCGGGCCAGGTCATTGGCACCTTGCCCCCTGGAGGTATTCCTGAGTGAGCGTCCCTCAAGTTCACGCGCGTCTTGCCACTGCTTGCCACAAGCTATGAGACCATCCAAAAAAATCCAGTTGCGCTCCTAACAACAGCAAACTCAACAAATATGCTTTGGTCACATGCCATTAGTTTCCATGCCACCAAAAGAGTGCGGACACATCTGACATAGGCTCGCGCTAGTGGCTGCGATATCTCCGCCGCCATCAAAGTCTGCGAAGTCAAGGTACCTTGCCGAACTGGCGTATCCATCACCTCTGCCCTCCGGCGAAACGCGACTTGACGTTAGCTCCATGGAATTGGATCTTGGCCATGGCTAAGCCATAGTTCGAGCTGCATCTTTCTTCGAGCTGGAGTCAGGGGTTGTCTGAAACATTCCTACAAACGAACCTGGGACCCAAAAAGGTGTTCGGGTCCAGCAAAAGAGCTTCCTCTAAACATGATGGTTCCTTGGATTCAATGCGGAGTAAGCAAGTGACTGAAAATGGCTCGAGCCACTGCTTCCTGCCTGGCCAAGGATCCATAGTCCAGCGTCTCCTGAGCGGGGTTGACACGCATCTCCTCTGCGGAAACGACATCCCTTCGCACTCTGCGACCGCTGGTGGTTTTGACCTTCAGGCCCCGTTTGTTTTCAAAAAACTACCGGGGTTCGCATCCCCAATCCACCAATGCAAATCACCAATGTAACAATTACCTGATTCTGCGCACTCAACCCCAGCTATCATTTCAACACAGGACACAATACCGCACAACCTCCGGCAATACTGCCACACGACACCAGGTGGCCATTGAAACCTGATGGGGAGGCCTCAAACAACAGTACCCTGGCATGTCTCACAGGCAAACCATAATTGCTTTACGCACCGCAATGAGCATTGTGCAGAACACCCAGGGCCTCTATGTACTCGCGCTTGGCAGTCTCTACAGCATCATTCTTGTCCTGGCAAACCATGCGAAGTGGGCTCCCTTTTCTTTCAGTGCCAACTAACATGTCCATCCCTACTGTGGATGGACAAAATCCATTTCGCACCACCTAAAACACCTTGCAAGGATGATTATCCTGTACATAACAACAAACAATGGTTTCAACCACGGTTTCAAAGTGGTGCAGGATTCGTCCATCCACCGTGTGACCATCTGTTACTCAGGGGGATGCCCTTGGCCACTGACATAAAAGCCAACCATTGCAAGTAAACCAAGCATACTCAACCACAGAACCATGGTAATTTACAGCAGGGTAGAGGGTGTCCTTGTCCCCTTGCTTGCAATATTCAGGGCATCCACCGTGTGGCATTGGGCGTTTCTACTGACTGGCCACAAACGCAAATCTCAGTCCTTGACAATCTGCAAAGAACCTCCAAGTGAATACTTTCTGCCAAACCGTGCACAGAAGGCAAGTGAAGCAGTTTCTCTCAAAAGACCACTGCATGCAAACACCCACCAACAAGAGGATGATAATTGTACAACTGCAACAATCATTGGTTTTTGCCAACCATTTGCGGGTCTGAAAGCCATGCCCCATGCGGTTTCCAGAACTGGCTGAACGGCTGGGAATGCCGCTTGTAGATTGTGGCTTCAGCGGCACCCTAGTTCGGCTGCGACTAGGGCTAGCAACCACTTCTTGGCCATCTGCGGGGTACACCAACAAATGCTGTTTTCAGATTGTGCTTCATTTGGCTCATATCTAGTCTACCCCAAGGTCTATGCCTCCATTTGCTCAAGTCGCCTGGGAAAACTGAACACATTTTCAATATGGTGATAAATTCCTTTTAACACCCACAGGAGAAAACAAGACATATTCTTAAGGAAAGGGAAGTATCAGATATGTGAGGAGACTTCCCGCAGCGATCAAACCTGCGACCGTCCTTCTTTTCCTTCCTCCCCATGGGAAACACCACCAGGAGCCTGAGCTGACAGCCAGTCGCACCTTAACACCAGGAGACATCGGGTGGATGGAAGGACACCGCTGAAAAGAATGGACTTCGAAACTGGCCCCAAACTTTCTGGCTGGCCAAATCGTCTGTTCCAAAATTGATGTGAAGGGAGCATTGGATCAAGGACTGATTGATGTGGGTCTGTTCTGGGGGGACCCCCTGCTTTTTTGGGGGTCAAAGCGACACCAAAAGGAAAACACGCCTTTCTTCTCCGGGGGGTCCAACTTCAAAAGACACACCAATGTTCTGGAGCGATTTCCTTTGCCTCGCGCAATGAGTACCAACGAAAGCGAGGGCTTCTCAAACAGAGAGATTCGGAGCGACCCATTTTGGAACAAAAGGGCGCGCTTGATTGGTCCTTTTCCGATTGGCGAGAAAAAAAGAAAAGAAACGGCAACGACAAGGCATTCACCTCTTGAGAAGCTTCTCTTCATGGCACCCTTGAGGTCATTTTTTAGACGAACACCCTCCAATGGGACTAGGATAAATCCGAAGGCCTGGGCTCTGGTGACAGTTTCGACCGCGGCAAACATGCCCACACAGAACCGAAAACGACAAGCGCCCCATCAAACGCAACTGGGAATAAGTCAACGCAAAGGTCCATGGCCCCGGAGGTTGTGTCTTTGCTCACTTTTTGCCCCTTGGGGTTGCGGGTTCGTGACACTCTAGGGCTTCGGCTGGTTCACCTTGCCCGTACCATCGCCCACGAAGCTCGCGGAGACCTTGCGTTCCTGCCACGAATGGATGTCCGGTTTGCTTTGGGCTGAGAAACGACTGCAGACATCGAGTGCTGCTGTGGATGGTTGCGAAATCCACTTCGCACCACCGTTCAGACACCCTGGTTTCTGAAAATACCATTATGCAAACAATGATTTCAACCATGGTTTCAAATTGGTGCAGGATTTCGTCCATCCACAGTATGGCAACGTTCCAACACATCTTTGCTCCTTTGCGGCTGTGTCAAACTTCTTGGTGGCCTATGTTCATTGCACAAGCCCAAACCTTGCCCGCAAAAATCGTTGTCTAACGCATGGCGTTTCCCCGTGCTTTTCAGGTCAAGGAGGGGCCCGGCAGGCTCCAGCTGGCGTTGTGCTTTTGTTTGCCGGCATTTACAGCCATCCGACCGGGCAAAAGAGGTGATGATTCACGATGGTGATGTACAGGAACAAAACATACAAAACCACAGAAAAACACACACCAAGGGGGAGAAAAAGACATAAGAAAAAACACAGAAAAAACAAAAAAAACACACGCCAAGGGAAGCTCGCCCCGAAACCGCCCTGTTCTTGTCGCGCAAACACGTACAAACCCCTAAGCCGCGCGCACGTCGCCGCTCGAGGCGCTGGAGAGAGGCCTGGCCTCGAGGGCCACGAGCACCTTGGCCACTTTCCCCTCCTCCGAGCGCGTGAAGAAGACCACCGCGGCCGAGCGGTAGGCGTCCTTTCGGAGGCCGACGAAAAGGAGCTGGGCGCGGAATTTGGTTTCAAGCAAGGCCTGGTCACCTGTGGAGGAAAACCAAGAGGTAAAGGAATGAACTAAAGGTTGATGGAAGGAACAAGCCTGCTTGCAGCTAATCCCCTGAAGCATGTAGCAAACCCCCTGCCTTTCAAGGAAGGTCGTCATTTTGCAGGCGAAACATCCTAAACACTACCCTGAAGGTGTGTGCAACATAGACTCTAAATCCATGATCATACCTTAAACCCCGAACCTAATATTCAAATATATTCTAATCATGTTGGTAAAGGGTAAAGGTATACCATGCCAAACGTTGAGATAGAAGCCCCCACCCGCACCCCTAAGAAAGGCTCGCAGAACCTGTTTAGCAGTTTGTTGAAGGGCTTATTTCTTGGGGGGGTAAGCTGGAAGGCCAAGCCTGAGTACTCCAAAAAAAAAGTGTCTGTGTGGCACGGCCCAAGACCACTTTGACTTTCCCCAGCGATTGACTCTAGGGGTTGATTCCCCATTCTTTGCAACCATCGTTCTTTTCAAAAAACCAGCTGACCCTAGAAGGATGGCTCTTACCCTTACAGCCAACAACAACAGTGCAGGACCGTAGAGGTACGCCAGACCCTCAATGCAGACGGCGCTGAACGGGCGTCCTCCGGAACTGCACATGGGGCTGCTCCTGGCGGCTATGTCGGTTTCTTTCTGTTCCCCTGCCAAAAGTTCAACTTTTAGTGTTTAATGAAAAGTCATTAGTTGGCAAAAAGTTAAAGTCCTAACATCCAAGCAACATGCACCAAAGCTATATGGCATATGGCGACGTCTCTCAGAGCTGGATGCCGCTTCTCAGTCTTGCAAGGTACCCACAGGAACAGACCCCGATCGGAAGGGCGTCACCGGATCTCACGCTGCCTCAGACATGGGTTTTTTCGTAAACTTTCAGCTGGTTAGCCGGCCAGGCATAACCTAACAAGGTGGCTGCCACGGCTGTGGAAAAGTTTGTGCACCCATCCCAGAAGCAAATGAAATCCTTCGGCTAGACTACACAATCAAGACCTTGGCCCGTCGCAAGACAAGCCGACATACAGTGACGGCCGTCAAACAAGGGAATCACACTGCTAAATGGCGCAAGTCTTCGGGACACACACACACACACGTGTTGCTGCCCTGCAACTTGCGAACGCTTGCAGCTCCTGTCTTGTCAGGCTCGGCCGCCTTTGCTTCCTGCACAGCCAGCCACCACTCTTACATCTCCGAGAGGCGAAGGCCCAAATAGGCCCAAGCAAGCTATGAGCAAAGGAATCCAGAGAGCTGCGCAAAGTCAAAGAAAGTAGCTGGCTTCCCCGAAGTCTCGGCGCGGTTCGGGGTGTTTTGGGGAAACTTTCAGGGAGGCATCCGGAGGGGTTCCTGTGGGTTCCGGGGCTGCTGGGGAGATCACCTGGGCTTATTTTCTACCGCCTCTCAGTCTGAGACAACTGCAGCGGGGCCTTGGCTTCAGGCTCTGACTTTGCTTCTGCCTTCGCTTTGGCCTTCCGATTCGGCTCTGCACGCAGAACTCCTCCCGTGGGATTTTCCGGCCTTGTCTTTCTTCTTGCCCATGGATGCAGAGGCTGGATGGGCAAATATGCTGACCTATGCTTTGTAATGTTGCAAGGTAGGTATTCTTGAGGCCCGATAAACACGTCTCAATGCAAGAATCAAATAAATCCAGGGCTGGCCTAATCAGGGCAAAACATATAGCCAACCATCAGTGCCTGAACAAACGCCCTAACAGGTGGGACGCTGTATGCCACACTGCGGCAAGTCAGTGTCTGATCAAATTAGAGTATGTCCCAAAACAAGAAACAAGACAATAACCGAGTAAGAACCTTTTTCATGGGTAAGCCCGTTTTCGCCCCAGCTTCTTATGCTGCCTGTATCGTACATCTAGCGAGTGTCGGTGCCACAGGCCGCATCTCCTGAAGCCTGCACCTAGAAACGGGTAGGTCGGGTTACTTGGGTTCCGGATATATGACTCCAAACACGTGAATACGCAACAGTCCAAAAACTGGAAATACGAGAAACCCTGTCCAACTCGCTCCATTCAAGTTCCTTCCAAGAGCCGGATGCTCTTCTAGTCATGAACTCAACCAACAACGCAAAAGTGCCGGAGATCAGACACTTGCTAAGCGCAACCATCTTAAAGCTGGATTATGCCACGCTTTGCGCAAGCCGGCCATATCACCGGGCAAGCCAACAGAACACTGCCGCAACGATCAACAAACCAAGTGGGCTGTCGAACACTTGGGGGGAAAAAACACACAACAACTACACGGAGCACAACTTGCCAAGCGATCTGGGCACCAGTGGCTGCCGCAACAGCGATCTCGCGCTTTTCCGCTACAACTCGTCTGACGCTGGCCGCTCTGTGGGGGCCACCTCCGCCTTCCGGATTGGCGATGAAGGGGGTGGCTTGGGGCTTGGGGCTTGGGCTTGGTGAGATGGGCGGGCCAAATGGGCGGCAACCCGCAGATTACGCCTCTCTTCGTCTTAAAAAAAAAAGCAAGTCCATGACGGGCAAGCGAAAAGGGAACTTGAAGCTGGTTGATTTGTAGAGGGTGTCCCTGTTGAGTAGTCACCCTTGTCACTGCGACTCGGCTCGTTTTAGTGGGGCTTGTATCAGAAAAGAGGGAAGGAATCCAGGACATCAGACTTCGACTAGACCAATCTGATATGCACCCTGCACACCACAGCTGGATTTACATGCCTGGAGTCGCTTAAAGTTGCAGTGTTTGGTTGTACTTTCACACGCCGTCTTGGTTGGCCAGACCTACTTCTGACTAAGGCCCGATGGGACCAGCCTTGGACCAAGGGCCTCGGAAGCGAACCCACACCTGAAGGCCTGGAACGGAAGAGGCCTGGACGGTTCTCGCGTTTCATCGCTTTTTGTGCGCTGAGACTGCTTTTTCTCGCTATGACCATGGCCTTGTCTGCAATTTCCGGGATTCGCACCGCAGAATCATCCACGTGGGGCTTCGCACCGCGCGAACTCGAAGGCTGCAGGTGGGGGGTGACCCTATTCATTTTTTTGGGACGCACGAGCAAATCAAACACGTCCCAAGAGCCAAGGCGGTTGTCTATATGAAAACAAGAACAACAAGAACAAGAACAATAACAAGAACAAGAACAATAACAACAACGAACAAAACAAACAAACAAACAAACAAACAAACAAACAAACAAACAAACAAACAAAAACAAACAAACAAAAACAACAACAACAAACAACAACCAAACAAACAACCACACAAACAAACAAACAAGCAAACAAACAAACAACCACACAAACAAACAAACAAACAAACAAACAAACAAACAAACAAACAGACAGACAGACAGACAAACAAACAAACAAACAAAACAAACAAACAAACAAACAAACAAACAAACAAACAAACAAACAAACAAACAAACAAACAAACAAACAAACAAACACAACAACACCAACACCAACACCAACACCAACAACAACAACAACGATGACAACGACAACAACGACGACAACGGCAACAACGACAACATCGCCAACAACGACAACTACGACAACAACCACAACAACGACAGCAGCAACAACAACACCAACCAAACCAACAACAACCAACAACAACCAACAACAACCAACAACAACCAACAACAATCAACAACAACCAACAACAACCAACAACAACCAACAACAACCAACAGCAACCAACAGCAACCAACAACAACCAACAACCAACAACAAACAACAAACAACCAACAACCACAACAACAACCACAACAACAACCACAACAACAACACCACCAACCAACCAACCAACCAACCAACCAACCAACCAACCAACCAACCAACCAACCAACCAACCAACGAACCAACCAACCAAACAACCGACCAACCAACCAACCAACCAACCAACCAACCAACCAACCAACCAACCAACCAACCAACCAACCAACCAACCAACCAACCAACCAACCAACCAACAACCATCAACCAACAAGCAACAAGCAACAAACCAACAAACACACAACAAACAACAAACAACAAACAACAAACAACAAACAACAAACAACCAACAACCAACAACCAACAACCAACAACCAACAACCAACAACCACTAACCACCAACCACCAACTACCAACCACCAACCACCACCAACCACCAACCCGCAACCCGCAACCCGCAACGCGCAACCCGCAACGCGCAACCCGCAATCCGCAATCCGCAGCCCGCAGCCCGCAACCGGCAACCGGCATCGAAGCCACCGCCAACGTACTCGCGCGTCAAAGCCTGGGTTGGCTTGCAAGAAGTCCTGGTGCTCTTGAACAAAGTCTGCGTAGGCCGACTGCTCCTTTGCTGGGCCGGACAGCGTCAAGAGCAGCTCGAAGGCGCGGCCCGGCGCGCCTTGAAGCGGGTCTGGCAGGCTCGCGATTTTGTCCGGGACCGTGTCTGCGGCTCAAGAGAAGGTGACCAGCTTCACGTGCTGCCTGTAGCCTTTGCCGCGTCCGAAGTGAGCGAACAAGCGGCCCAAAGTCCGGCTCCACGGGGTTGAAGCGCTCGCCGCACGGCCTGGCAGTTCAAAAGATACAGAGCTTCCGTGAG